TGTGTCACTGAGCCCCAATCCACACTGGTTTTTACAGCCCATAGTTCTTACTGCCTGTATGGACTTCTTTTCCCAGCTCTGAGACCTTGGGCTGGGGGTCTGGTGTGGGTATGGGACACCTTGCTCCTCTGAGTGGCCTCCGCAGAGATGATCTCCCTCCCGATTGAAAAAGCGGCACACGTGGGTGTCGGACCAGCTGTTTCGAACCTCCGCGCCTGTTACCAGTCTTAGTGTGCTTTCTTCTTTACTTCTCTAGTTGTAGGACTTCCATTCAGCCAGCTTTGCAGTGGTTCTGGATGATGGTTGTTTTGTATTTTAGTTGTAATTTTGATGTGATTGTGGGAGGCGGTGAGTACAGGCATTTACCTACGTCTCCATCTTCCTTTTTCATCCTTGTTATTATTTTAATGTGGTCTTGAGATAAATGGAATTGGAATTGTCTGCCTTCCATAATAATCCTCTCATTTTATTTTTTTATTCTAGTGATTTTACTAACCGGTCCATTGAATCTCCCAAATTTCTTGTTAAAATAATATGGAAGTTATCTTTTAAAACTTCTTTCTAACAATTAAATTAAACTTTATGACCGTGATATCAATTATTTTTATATTTAACCATACATTTTTTGGCTTTAGTCCCCATTACATTTTCTTATATAACATGTCTTCTCCTTTCTTGAGTTCCCTATTTTGGCTTATGTTTCTCCTTGGCTAGAATACAACTTCAAGTAATCATTAAAAAAAATAAAACAAAGAGTATTTGGCTGATATAATTTCTGTGTCTTTGCATATGCCTTTTTTGTTATCACATATGAGAGAAATTATAGTTTAGCAGCTGGTACAATTCTTGGGTTACAATAATATTCTCTTAGAATTCTATAAAAATAGTGCCACTGTCTTTTAGCATAGTGTTGCTGATGTGTCTGGTTTTCTTTCTTTTAAGTAGCTCAATTTTTCTCCCCTATCACAAAACTTGCAGTTGTATCTCTGTTCTTGGAATATCAGATTACATCTAGAATTGTGAACTTCTCAGTAATCCTGCTGCCCAGCACTCAATAGAACCCTAGGATCCAAGGTCTAAAGTTTTTCTTCAGCTCAAGGAAATGTTCTTCTAGTTCTTCCTAGATTATTGCCTTTCCCTTTGTTAATGATGTTGTCACCTTCAGGAACTCCTAGTAAACTAATATTGGATATTCTGGATCTCTTCGTTCTAGCTTGTGTCTTATCTGATTATTTAAATCTCTTTTTCTTCTATTTATGTTATTCTCTTCATGGTATCCTCAAATGAGCTGCTAAGCAGCAGTCCTGCCCCTATCCAATCTGTGAATTCTACTTAATAAACTTCCCACTTTCAAAGACACTGAAAAATAACTGCCATTCTGTATGGAGAGAACCAGCCTAGTTCCTGATGTCCCTCAATTTTTAAAAATTTATTATTGATTTGAGAGGCAAAGAGAGAGAAAGAGAAGGGAGAGAGGGAGGGAGGGAGGGAAGGGGAGGGGGGGGGAGGGGAGGGGAGAGGAGAGGAAAGGAGAGGAGAGGAGAGGAGAGAACAGAGGAGAGAGAGAAACATCAATTGGTTGCTTCCCGTACATACCTACCCTGACCAATAATCAAACCCGCCACCTTTTGGTGTGCAGGATGTTCTAACCACCTGAGCCACACCGGCCAGGGCCCTGGTGTCCTGCAGCTGAATCGATGCTCTTGACCTCATCCAATCTTTGGTCCTCTGAGAGAGAGAAACATCAATTGGTTGCTTCCCATACATACCTACCCTGACCAGTAATCAAACCTGCCACCTTTTGGTGTGCAGGATGTTCTAACTACCTGAGCCACACCGGCCAGGGCCCTGGTGTCCTTTAATTTGCAGCTGAATCGATGCTCTGGACCTCATCCAATCTTTGGTCCTCTGAGTTTTTACTCTTTAAGGATCTTTTTCTGGAAACCTGTGCACTTTCTTCTTAGGGGGTCTGTGCAGAATTGTGAGCTTATCAGCACTAATTAGTTTTTGGTCTTCACGTCCCATCTACTCTCTAGCTTCCCCATAGTCTTCAAACTGCCGGCTCTTGATGGCTTTATATGATGGTTTCTAGCACTGTGACGGATGTTTTGGTCATTTAATTTTTTTTTTGAGAAGTTGGAGGGAGTAAATGTATGGGTCCAATGTACCATCCTGAAACCCAAAGCCCCAGTGTGGAAATAGTAGCGGGGGTTGCATCATGTGGATGGCTGGACCAAATGACACGCAGCCTCATCTGGCCCTGGCAAGGCTCATCTCTCAAGTCTAAAAAATAAAGCAGTATAATGAAAGTTTTGAAAAACAACTTTTACAGAAAGGTCCAGAGAGTAGGGTTTAATTTAGGAGAACGGAATGAGGTGAGACTTGCATGATGGACCCCATTAAACCTGCAGGAGGGACTAAGCTTAAATTATAGCCAAAAGTGATTCAGGGTGGTCATCACCAAAACCATTTAGCTCTTAGAAGCTTGTGTGGCAGTGCAAAGCCCAGTTAAGAAGTCTCCTTCTCTGGGTGAGTTTTCTGAAGGGTTAAGAGATGTTCTGTTTAAAGGCAGAGGATGGACTGAATTACCTTCCTGATTGCCTGTCATCCTAGGACAGCGGTTCTCAACCTGTGGGTCGTGACCCCTTTGGGGGTCGAACGACCCTTTCACAGGGGTCGCCTAAGACCATCGGAAAACACATATATAATTACATATTGTTTTTGTGATTAATCACTATGCTTTAATTATGTTCAATTTGTAACAATGAAAATACATCCTGCATATCAGATATTTACATTCCAATTCATAACAGTATCAAAATTACAGTTATGAAGTAGCAACGAAAATAATTTTATGGTTGGGGGTCACCACAACATGAGGAACTGTATTAAAGGGTCGCGGCATTAGGAAAGTTGAGAACCACTGTCCTAGGACATTATGATTATGACCTCGGCGCCTGTGATGGTAGATGTGATAGAAAACTCCTGAGAGCATAAAAATCTTTTCACCCATCGGTACTGATAATATTTTCTTAAGTCAGGAGATACTGTTTTTGTCAAGAACACTTTTTCCATATCTTTAAAACCAAATGGAGACATATTTAGTTTCTCTCCTCACATGCTGGGAAGCACAAGACTTTCAGTGGCTCCCTCTCTCCCTGCGGTTGGAGGCAGCGCTAGTTCTCAGCACGGATGGACACTTCCTCCCGTCCCTGGGCAGTCCCCTCCCCCAGGGCTGGTTAGAGAGAGAAGCAGGGAGAGGGTATGGGCTAGACTAGGGAGAGAGAGGAAGGACAGGCTTCCTATGGTAGGTCAGTGCCTGTCACAGAGCCTCCGGGGCTCAGGTCTGTGGTGGTTGCAGAAGAGACCGTTCTAAGCTGTATGGCTGGTGACATTTCCGGCTGCCAGTGCCCAGCCAATCAGTGACAGGCCCAGCTAGCTAGAGCGATGACACATGAAATATGATCATTTTCTGCTAAAGAGCCTGGAAGGCGGGGGAAGGGGGTGGGAAGAGAAGGGAGATGCTGTGTGTGTGTGTGTGTGTGTGTATGTGCCTGGGAGGGCCGGTGCAGGCAGCACCTGTGACAAGAGGGGATGGTGACAGTGCACTGGGCTCTGATGCTAGGGCTAGAGGGACATGCCCTGGGGAGTGGCTGTAGGAACACCAGGGTTGCTTGTCAGGGAAGCGGCTGCTGCTGGGTGGGAGCCAGAGAAGCACCCAGTGGCATTATGAAGCTCAGGGCAACCAGGATAAAAAAGAAACTGTAAAAGGCATTTTCATCCCTTCCAAACATAAGTGAGGTTAGGAGTTTTGGTTTCTTCTCACTGCTACCTCTTTAAAAGCCAAAACAAAACTAGAGTAAATATCATTTGGGTGGCTCAAACACTTGACAAAAAAACCAACCCCCCCCCCCCAAAACAAACAAAAACAAAACAAACAAACAAACAAAAACTCCACACAAAACCCATTTGGGCTGGGTGTTATTTATCCCCCACCCCACCCCCTTTTTTCCCCTACCCTATGCTCAACCCAACCTTAACAAGATATAGTAAAAAAAAAAAAAAAACAAACAACAAAAACAACAAAACCATCTTTTTAAAAAAATTTTAAAGAAGGGCCTACGTCTGTATCTTAGGGGACCCTAAAGGTTCAGGTGGTAGTTTTGATTCCAGATTCTGGTTTTTAAAAAAATGTGTCTTTGAACACGATCTGGTCCTAGACTATCTTATAGTTTAGAAGTAGTTGCCACATGGATTCTTTGGTTAGAGGACATGGCACCTGAGGGTTCACGGCAGGACAGGGTGAGGAGTGCCCTGGCATTAACTCTGCGGTGACAGAAACCCTCCCTTCCTCCAGTCCCTTGGCAGGCTTCCTGGTCCTTTATCAGCAGTTAGGGGCTCATGAGGGGCGACACCCATGCTGCAGGAGTCCCCTGCACTGTCTGATCCCGTGAACATGTGTGTTCAGCAGTGAAGGATCATAGTGTTTACATAACATGCTGATTAGTCACTGAGGAGCTCATCACGGCAATAAATGTGTCCAGTTTTATATCTTGCATTTGCATTCTCACTCTCTCTCTCCACATATATATTTATATATATGAAAATTTTTAAAAAGGCACTGAAAACTGAAATCATTATCACCGTGTGCAAGCCTGTCTGTGGCTTTAGACACGGGACTGGCTTCCTGCGCTGGGACGGATAGCTATTCAGGAGTGATAATTGGTGTACTGTATCTTTAAAAGGTTAAAACCTCTTTCAAAAAAGGTCTGGACTCATAGTGGAAAAGGCAAGCGAGGCATGGGTTGGCTCCGGATTCAGAAAACAGCTGCTGATTAGATTCTGTGTCTGAGGACCGAATTTATTCCGTGTTTTTCAGCAGCAGGAATTCGAGAGGGATGCTACTGTTTGGGTTTCTGATGGTGATTTATATTTATTCAGAGGAATAACAGAGGGTGGATCTGTTCCGGGCGCGAGCATGCTCACAACCAGCCGTCTCTCCCATTATCCAACTGCCTAGTTTGGTGCTTCAATGTACATGCATATTCCGTGTGCATATGTGTGTGTACCAACACGCACGCATGCCTGTGTGGACAGATGTGTGCACAGGTTCTGCTTTAAGGACAATTCTTTCAATGAGGTCTTTACCCCTTACTTGAAACAGGTGTTCATGAAAAAAATGCACACAATCCTGACTGACCGGAATAATTCCTGAAGAAGGGGCTGGATCCGTGGGGCTGGAACGCAGGACCAGTTTGCCATCCCAAGGCCCAAGGTAGGGGACTCTGGATTTTTATTCTGCGGATGGATTCCTTGTGTTTGATTGTATTTGTTGTGGTTTTGCCTGCGGCTGCCCTGGAAAATGAAATAGCGAGTTGCGATTCCATTTTGTCATTGCATTTCTTGGGCATGGTGTCCGGGGTGCTGAGGTGCAAGGGCCGGCTTGGTGGGTGGTCGCACAGCCTGCGGTGCCCTCCGTGGGCTGAGCCGGCTGCTCGGCCTGGTGCTGGGGGAGCGAGCGAGCCTCAAGTGACCCCGCG